AAAAAAAGTTAAAATTAAAATTAAAAAAAAGGAAAGGCTTTGTAAGAAAGAACACTATGAATACCAATTAAGCAAAATATTATTCCTCAAAAAAGAATCTCATTCTTTTCATTAGTATACCTATATTAGAAAATATTGTATACTTATTTTTAACTTACTTAAATTTTTTTAAAATTTCTGATTTAATTAAGATTTTTAATTTAATCAAGAAAGATTTCATGGAAAAGCACTTTCTCTCACTATGGAAGTACTAAATAATACCCTCCATTTTTGCCTCTTGCTCTTCAATGCCTAAAACGTTTACCATCAGTCTGCCGACCCCTGCTCTAGGTGAATGCTCTTCCCTTCCGAAAGAGAACCCAATGGGGCACCCGGGTGGCTCAGCTGGTTAAGCATCTGACTTCGGCTCAGGTCATGACCTCACGGTTCGTGAGTTCGAGCCCCACATCAGGCCCTGTGTTGATAGCTCAGAGCCTAGAGCCTGCTTCGAGTTCTATATCTCCCTTTCTCTGCCCCTCCCCCACTTGCACTCTCTCTCTCAAAAATAAACATTAAAAAAAAAAAGAAAGAAAGAGAAACCTAAGGCCTGTTCTTTCTGTGTCACTAAAGGAGGTTAGCAAATATTGAATTAAATAGATGGATGATTGCAAGAGAATTGGAAAGGGACAAGCTTTCTTTTTCTCCTTATGTTTTTAATACCTCATCTGTGATTAAAATAGTCTAATCCCATCCACAGTATCCTTCTGCCCGTTACCTGCCCTCCTGCCTCGCGCAGCTGACCCTGGATGCGCTGGCAGAAGTCAGGATTGCACAGCAGAGTGAGGGGGGCCTTCAGCTGGACAGGCACAGGGTCAATGGTCTCTAGCAGGTGCTGCCACTCATCATCGCTGTCGGGCTCCTGAGGCATAGGGGAACGAACAAGGTCAGAAGTGTGTAAGGTTCAAGGGTAGTAGCCCTCAACCTGCAGAATCATGGAGTAAATGCAAGAACCAGGGAATCCTTCAACACAGATGTATTTGCTTTAACCACCGGTTTAAAAAGGTATAGTTTGGCAGTATGTGAGGGGTCTTGAAAAGTCTCTTGGAGAACACTGGCATGTGTTCATAAAGAGGTACCTACAATATGTCCATTTATAATTTTAAAAAATTGGCAATGTCATAAAGGCAATCAGTAAGGGAATAATAAATCATGGCACATCCATATTAAGAAATATGATGAAGTTATTAAAAAGATTATAGTACTCGGGCGCCTGGGTGGCTGAGTCGGTTAAGTGTCCGAGCGTCCGACTTCAGCTCAGGTCATGATCTCATGGTTCGTGGGTTCAAGCCCCATGTCAGGCTCTGTGCTGACAGCTCAGAGCCTGGAGCCTGCTTCGGATTCTGTCTCTGTCTCTCTGCCTCTCCCCTCCTCATGCTCTGTCTGTCTCTCTCTCTCAAATATAAAATAAAAAAACAAACAAAAAAAATAGAAAAAAAAGATTATAGTACTGAGGACACATCACTAATGTAGTATTCTGACCAAAACTACATAAATGAATTTAATCATGAGAAAGTATCAATTTGAGGAACATTCTCCAAAATAACTGGCCTGTGTACCCCAAAAATGTCAGTCATGAAAGACAAAGAAAGACTAGGAACTATTCCAGATTAAAGGAAACTAATGAGATATAACAATGAAAGCAATGCATAACCCTGGATTGGATCATGGACCAGGAAAAAATTTTTTTTGCTATAAGGAATAGTACTGGACCAATTGGCAAACTTTGAATATGGATTATAGATCAAGTAGCAGAATTGTATCAATGTTAAATTTCTGGCTTCTGTAATTGTACTGTAGTAGTGTAGGTCAAGGATCTTGTTCTTAACCAATGTGCACTAAAGTGCTTAGGGGTAAAGGGACATGATTGCATCTTACCCTAAAATGACTCAAGAAAGAGGATACACCCTTATATAAGCAGACATATACAGAGAGAAAATCATAAAGCCACTGTGGCAGAATTTGAAGAGTTGGTGAATCTGGATGAAGGGCATACAGGAATTCTTTGTGGTATCCTCACAATTATTCTTGAAGCTTGAAACTATTTCAAAATAAAAAGTTAACTACCCCCCCCCCAAAAAAAAAGCCAGAAAAGATTAAGGTAGAATTATATGTTCAGATGTAGAAAGATCTCCAAAATGGATCATCTGGTAAGAGAGGCATGATGCAAAACAGTACATGTAGTGTGAACTCAATAACATTAAAATAGTCAAACTACAGATTTCTATGTATGCGTATACATACATGTAGAAGTGCAAACGTTTGGAAAAAGAAAGACTAAACTAATAATGGCAGACACCTCTGTAACTGGGGTAAGACGCAAGAAGGACTTCCATTTCTACCCATGTGTTCCAATTTTTGATAATCACATGTTTATACTGTGCAATTAAAAATCTACACATTAAGAAAGCAATTTTTAACACCAGAGGAGCTTGTTTTTGGATGGTTGGGAATCACTGTTCTAGAAAAACATGTACCCAGACCCAACATCTGATAGCAAGGTCAAGGCCAAGAGGGGCCCCCACAGCTCACCTCATTTTCTAGGTCCACTGCATCAATGCTCCGCTGGCTCACCACCTCTGGCCTCAGCTCTAGGAGAGCTGGTTCAGAATCCTGGCTGATCTGGTTTTCCCTGCCAGAGGAACAGGGAACAGGAAGAGTTCCAGACCTGTGAGACTTAGGGTTCATCTACATATTCCTCTCTCTAGGCCCAAGATACGAATGAAAAACGAGCCACATAGGACTGGATAGAAAAGAGCTTTCTTCTAGGATATGGCAGGACAGGATGTTGACCACTACACATATCCTTGACTGCCCTTCCACTCTGAACCTTACTCTCAAGCCTACCTTGGCAGTTTTCACCTGTAGTTCTCAACTCAAATATCTTCCCTTTTACATGGAGACAATTCTTTCCTTCTCAGTTAATGTACAACTGAGGCATAAAGAAAGGAAAATTCCCATTACCACTGATGAATCAGGAAAGTATCCAGAATCGGAATTCAAGAACACAGGACCTGGATTCCGAGGGCCCTGTCCATACTTAGGTGGTGGCTAGTGATAGACACCATTTTGTATTTGTTTTGACTAAAACCAAAGATCTTCAAGGGACCTCCATCTATAAACCCCTGGCTAGCCCCTCCTCACCGAGGTACAGGGGGGGCCTCTCCAGCCCCCCACTCAGCCCAGCTGTTCTTCATTTCTGAGGCCAAGATCCCAGCCAAGAGGCCTGGTTCCTGAGGAGTGGCTCTTGGTCTGGGCAGAGGGGCTGTGCCAGAAGCCATCTTGCTGGTCCTGTCCTCTTGCTCAAGGGCAGGTCCTGTGTTCTGGTGTTTCTGTGGGAAATGGGCAGGAGACACACTGAATCAAAACTATTTGGTTGTGGGGTGGGCTGCCTGGGTGGCTCAGTGGGTTAAGCATCTGGCCCTTGGTTTTGGCTCAGGTCATGATCTTATGGTTCCTGAGTTCGAGCCCTGCATCAGGCTCTGAGCGGACAGTGTGGAGCAGGCTTGGGATTCTCTCTCTCTCTCTCTCTCTCTCTCTCTCTTTCTCTCTGCCCCTCCCCTGCGCATGTCCTTTCTCAAAATGAATAAATTTAAAAACAAAACAAAATCATTCATAGGTATGAATGGTACCTACTCAGAGGGCAGAATGAAACCTATTCATGGCCCTTTCTCAACCTTCCTTCTCCAATTCTCTCAGTCACTAGGCTGTCACATATTCCCTTCTGTCCACATACCTTCTGCTTGGCCTCCTCAGCCATGTGTTTACAGGCTTGTCGCAAGATTCGAGAACGATTGCCCTTGGGGGCCAGCTGGTGTGCCTGTTGGTCCTTTAGGACCTGAAGTTCTGGGGGTAGGCGACTGGTGAATGGGGTACCCAAATCTGGGCCTGCTGGTTCAGTTATTACTGTAGGGAAGAAGAGGGAGAATATGTGATCACACTGGGACTGCACCACCATCTCCACTTGGCCAGAGACAACTTCAGTGTCCTCAGGCTTCTGTGGAAGGAGGCCATTTTGACAATGTGACAAAGAGGGAGTGGGGTTGCAAGAGAAGTGCCAAAGGTTAGGCAAAAGGTTAGGAAGAAAGTTCCAGCTGGTAGGGTAAAGCAGACATGTTACATCCAGACACTGGGGGAAGGGGGTAGATTGGAAAGAGCACCAGGGAAGTGTAAAAGCCCTGGGAACCCCAATGACTCACTGGTGACACGACCAGCTATAAAGGGGTGATGTAAGAGATCTGGCCAGGACAGACGCTGCCTAGGGTCCTTGGTGAGCAGTCCCTGCAGGAAGTTCTGTGGAGAGAAAAAATACCCCATGGGTCATCGCTTTCCTACAGACTCCCTCTAACTCACCAGCAGAACTAGGAAACCAAGACTCCTGAGTCCGTTCCATCAGCAAACTAGCTGGTCTTGATCATGCCCTCTCTAATCGTATCCTTAGGCCTCATTTAGCTGGCTTCAGGGAGAGACTTCTCTGCCTCACCTCCTGCAGAGCCCCAATTCCTGTCCAGAGACTTACTGTCACCTTCACAATCATCTTCAGAAAGCAAACATTCAAAAGAGTCCGAATTGCTCACTTTGCCCTCCCTTTGATTGCGGGTTTGTTTGCAGCTGGGTAGGACCAGAAGCATTGGTGGTTAAAAGCACACTCACACACAAGTCATTGTGTAAAGATGTGTTTGGGAGCACAGAAAAACAGAAATCTTTCAGCAAGTCTTGAGATGGCAGAAGGGAAGGGAGACTGCCTCTGAAAAGGGTGTATCTGTTATGGTGTATCCTTGGGAAAATCCCCAGTTGGGCCTAAAATAGGGATAGAAGGTACTGGTCGATTATGACCACTGTTCTAAAACAAGGTGATTAGTATATTGTGGCTCTTGCTGAAGATGCCTGCCTGTCTGCTCTAAGGGAGAATGAATATCCTATGTAGATCACCCACTTAAATTTCTTTTGCTTAGATTCTTTTTGATAATTATTTGAGCCTCCCCAACTAAATAGGTTAGGGAGAAACTTGTCCCTTTTCATCTTAGACAGGCCAAGGGAAAGTTATAATGAGACTGCACTCTGGGAAAAGGTTGCACTTAAATTCCATTGAGGGCCCAAATTTTGCCCTAGATAAGAAATAAAAAGGGTCAACTCTTTATTCTCCCTCCCTCCCTCACCTCCTGAGACTTAGCTGCAATCAACAGATACCACTTCTATCATCTGCCCCTAATCGCTGATTTAGCCCCACTAGCTCTGGCCATTTGGATTTCTGAAGATTCCTTCTTTCAGGAAGAAGACTAAGAAGTCTGTGGGCAAATCTAGATATCATGAGGACTTTGCATCTGATAGGAAGTAAGTGGAAGAGAGGATGTGTAAAAGGACAGTTTCTGTCTCTGGTGGCTTGAAACTACCTTACCATTGTGATAAAGAATAGCCTGCCCTGGGGGCACCTGGGTGGCTCGGTGAGGTAAGCATCTAACTCTTGATTTCAGCTCAGGTCATGATCTCACAGGTTCGTGAGTTCAAGCCCCACATTGGGCTCTGCACTAGAGCAGAGCCTGCTTGGGATTCTCTCTCTCCCCTCTCTCTCTGTCCCTCCCCACCGCGTGTACGTGCTTTCTCTTAAAACAAATAAATAGACTTAAAAAAACACACACACGTATACACACATACATACATATGAATATACATACACATATATACACACACGCATACATAGAATAGCCCACTATGTATATGAATAGCCCGCCCCAAGGAGGGGCTGGCTGGTATTCCCAAATTCTGCAGAGTTTAGAACAGCCTCCGAGAATAAGCCCCTGCAGCAGAAAAGCAACGCAGCTTGGCCCAGCTCCCACATTAGTTCAGTAACGGCAGAGTCTTGCCCCAGATTTTGGAAAAGGGAACCAGGGCAGAGGAAGACAGGTTTCTAATGCAAAAGTAATCTCCCTTTCGACGTTCATTACCTTGAAGCAAGGACTAATGGTGGTCGGCCAGCGCACAGGGTCCTTGAGAATGAGGCTGACCAACTGAAAGATGCTGGTAGTGTAGAAGGGAGGGGTGCCCACAGCCAGCTCATACAGTATGCAGCCCACAGACCAGAGGTCTGCAGTGTGGTCGTACGGTCGCTCTTCCACCAGCTCTGGAGACATATAAAGTGGTGTGCCTTTGATGGATGTCAGCACCATCGTGTTGGTGCTCATTGCCCTGGCAAATCTGCAGGAGATGAGGGAACAGAGTTGGGAAGAGAAAAAACATATTCAATAAAAACAAGGCCTATCATGGTGTGAGATATCCCAAACTCAAACAGAGAACACCTTCCAAAGACCCAACAGGAACCCCTAGTCTTTTAGCTCGGGTTCTAAAATGAGGTCCAGGTAAGTTAAGCATATGGTCGAAGACTCCTTGCAGAACTGGAAGCTGAGACAGAAGGTCAGGGTCCTCACCCAAAGTCACAGAGCTTGATGCCACCACCCTTGGCAAGGAGGATGTTCTGAGGTTTCATGTCACGGTGGAGAATGCGGTGGGAATGCAGATAGTACAGAGCGGACACCAACTGGGCAGCAATGGCCTGAACCTAGGGGTCAAACAGGCAGGGGAAGGAAAGGAGAGGCCAGAGGAAGGAGCCTACTGACGAGCCCAAAGACATTTCCCTAAATTACTGATGAGATCTTCTCTTCTTGCTCTTTCTTCCAGAGCTTCCCACATCTTCCTTAGCTCTTGACTCCCATTCACTCATTCTTTCATTTGTTCATTCACTCATTCAAGGAAAATGTATCGAGTCTCACTAGCTGTGACCTGGGATGGGCAAATTATCTCGTGCCTCTCATATGCATCATCTGTAAGCTCATGATAATAATACCACCTCCTTTATAGGATTATTGTGAGGATTAAACAAGTCAAAGCATGCCATGCTCAGAATGGTGCCTGGCATTTAGTAAGCCTTCAATATACATTAGCTGTTACTAAAAAAAAAATTTTTTTTTTGTTTATTTAGTTTTTGAGAGAGACAGATGGAGCACAAGTGGTGGAAGGGCAGAGAGAGGGGGAGACACAGAATCAGAAACAGACTCCAGGCTCTGAGCCATCAGCACAGATCCTGACGCAGGGCTCGAACTCACAGACCGGGAGATCATGACCTGAGCCGAAGTCGGATGCTCAACTGACTGAGCCACCCAGGTGCCTCTACATTAGCTGTTATTAAACATGACAAAGTCTTTTTTCTCAAGACAAGTAATCAGACAACAAACAAGACAGACAAAATAAGTACGATGATGACTTACAAATGACAATGCTTAGAAAGAAATGGATTGCTACAACAGGAAGTCCTGGGGGGGGGGGGGGAGGGCTACTTGTTAGAGTACAGAGAAATCCCTAGAATGAGTGTGGCTGGAGAATGTGTTCCACCAAATCCCACTGCCAACCAGCAGGTCTTGGTGGTGAATCCTGCCTTAACAACAACTCTTATTCCCTTCCTGCCCTCTCTGATACCACCACACGTGCTATCTGGTGACAGCAAAAGCATTAATAACAGGAATGTTGAATACTGTGCATCAGGCACTCTTTTAAATGCTTTATATGAGGGGTGCCTGGGTGTTTCAGTCAGTTAAGCATCCAACTTTGGCTCAGGGCATGATCTCACAGTTCATGGGTTTGAGTCCCACATCAGGGTCCATGCTGATGGTGCAGAGCCTACTTGGGATTCTCTCTCTCTCCTTCTCTCTCTGCCTCTCCCATGCTCAAGCTTTCTCTCTCTCTCAAAAATAAAAAAAAAAAAATTTTAAAGATTTAAATGCTTTACATGAATTCATTAATCTTCACAATAGTCTCATGAGACAGACATTAAAATGACATCCATTTTTATTTTTATTTTTTTTAATTTTTTTAATTAAAAAAAATTTTTTTAACGTTTATTTATTTTTGAGACAGAGAGAGACAGAGCATGAACGGGGGAGGGGCAGAGAGAGAGGGAGACACAGAATGGGAAGCAGGCTCCAGGCTCTGAGCCATCAGCCCAGAGCCCGACGCGGGGCTCGAACTCACGGACCGCGAGATTGTGACCTGAGCTGAAGTTGGACGCTTAACCGACTGAGCCACTCAGGCGCCCCGATGACATCCATTTTTAAATGAGGAAACTGAGTGCTAAGAAGTTAAGGTAACTCGCCCAAAAGGATCCAGGTAGAAAGTGGCAGAGACAACTTTGTACTCAGAGATTTTGGCTCCAGTGTTCACCTACTTTACTGACATGCCACACTGTCTCTATATACACCTAGACTCTTATAGTTTCGTCAGGAGTTTTCAAAATGGAGAATCTCAGTGCCCTCAGCTTTTGCTACCAGTCCTTAATCTGAAAAGAGGTCAGGGTAGGGGACAAGTTTGAGCGAGGAAACATACCTGGTCTTCTGGAAGTTTTCCATCATCTTCCAAGATCTGAAAGAGCTCTCCCTCAGCATAGTCTGTCACCACCACCACCTGCAGGGAGAAGGCAATGGTACTGATGGCTCCAGATTTATGCATTCTGAGGCTGGGAAATTTGAGGGACCCTTCTTCCTGGGGAGAGGTGACCCAAAACTGAAGTGCACCTCTTTGTCAGTTTCAAAGCTGTCAAGCATATGCACAATGTTGGGATGCCGCAGACCCCGCATGATTTCAATCTCTCGTTGCAGATTCCTCAGCTCCTTCTCTGAACGTCCCAGTTTTGGAATGAACTTCAGGGCCACCACCTGTCAGTGGTAAGATGAAGAGTCAAGGCCTAACCATGCTATTGAAACATTCACCTCGGAGCTCCAGAACTCAGGCTTCAGATTGTTTGGGCAAATTCTCATTACCTGCTAGTCTCCTACTCCTCTTCCTTACAGTACCCTGGCCTTATCCAGACTCCCCCCACCTCTTGCCCTCGGAGAAAACAGCCTCTGCCAGACAGATCCCTTTGGTGGAATCTGGGAGAGGTGTTCTGATCTGGGTAAAGAACTCTTGGTAAAAATTTAAGAGATTTAGGGGAAAGAGAAGGAAGAAAAAAATGAAGAAGGAAGAATAAAGTTAAGGTGGTTTATCTCTTCCTGCGTGGTATGATAGACAATAACAATAATAAAAATAAAATTTATTGTTTACTAGGTGCCAGACACTATACTAATGTAGTGATTCAGCATGAATCATATTTAATCCTCAAGCCCCATCAATCAGATACTGTTCTTATCTTCTTTCTACAGATGAGGAAACTGAGACATTGAGAGTTTAAGTAACTTATCCACAGTTCTAAGGCTAGAAATGGTGGATCTAGGGTCTGAACCTAGTAATCCAATATTAGAGCACACACTCCACAAGAGGAATGACCGAGTCAGTGCCTTTGGAATACAGGTCCGTATTCTGGTCCCTGTAGAATCCCACCCAAGAGATATCCCTCCTTGTTCACCACCTGAGCACTGTATTTTCTTCGACCCTTGTACACCCTCCCAAAAGAGCCTTCTCCGATCATCTCCAACACGTGGTACTTCTCCATGACAGAGATTTCAGGATCCTTCAGATGGAAGGAGGTAGAGATGGTGGTGAAGGGCTACAGCTCCAGGGACAGCTCCACACATCTAGGAGGTCTGGGTCGGGCATAAAAGAAAGGTTCATGTTAGCCACCTTGCCTTTTCCTTTTTCATAATAATCCAGGCCTCAAAAACATGGTAGGGTGGAGTGGATGGAAAGATGAGATCTTGGGAGCAAACAGAGAGCCTCTTGTTCTCCCTCCTTTTCAACCTCCTTATGGCCCCCAACCCAACCTCGTTCCCACCGAAACCCGTGCCCCACGCCCCTCTCCACGCAGCTCCGCCCACTCGACCGCTCCCCCTCTTCTTCAATCCAGCTTCTCCCCTCGGCCCCGCCCCCTCCGTCC